ATTAATATCAATATTGTTTTGATTGTTATCATTATTGTTGTTGTTCCCGTTGATGTTGTCGTTGTTGGTGTTATTGTTATTATAACTATCATTATGAACATCATCATCATTATTATTGTTATTATCCTTATTATGATTATTTTTGGTATTATCATTGTTGTTGTTGTTGGTGGTGATGTTATTACAGTGATGTAAACAATTGAGGAAGGATTACAAAATATATCCTTAATTTATTATAATACATCCCTATATATCCATCTCTCTCTCTCTCTCCCTGTCTCTGTCTCTCTGCCTCTCTCTCTCTCTCTCTCTCTCTTTACCACTAATCTTCATCTCTCCTCACTCTCTCTCTCTTTATCAATCGGTCTATCTATCTAGTTCTCTTTCTTTCTATCTCTCTCTCTCTCTCTCCTCACTCTCTATCTCTCTGTAAGAAAGGATCACATTTTTTTTTCTCTTTTTTAAGAAAGAGCTGAGGAAAATAAAAATATATTTTCTTAACGTGATGCAAACATTCTAGACAAGACAACAAAGAAAAAAAAGGAAAGAAAATATAGATGCAGATTCCTTTCTTTCTTTTTTTAAGGGATTATATACACCTTCCAACATTTTTACTTCCTTCCCATTTTCCTACTGCTTTCACTATTACTATCACTATTTCACTAATGACTTTTCAGTTTTCGTTATTTATTCACGTCACTGTTTTATAATAACAGATACTTCAAAAATTATTGCTATGAATAAAGATTCTTACTCCATACTCATTACCCAGTACTTTCTTAATAATCATACCTGCTTTCATCTATCAGCTACTACGTGTGAAACAAACAAAAATGATAATGATAACAATACAGAGAAGAAAAATAAAATGAAAGACAAAAATATCTGAACAGAATAATAAAAAATAGATTAATTAAAATAAAAGAACGACAAGGAAACACTACACCTTTATTCTATTTTCATCTATTATCAACCCTCTTATTTGTAATTTCTTACTGAGTTTTGATATCTTCGCTTTTGTAAATAGATATCTGCATATATGATATTCAACCATCCTTAATTTTTCGACTCTTTTGCATTGTACAAGAAATTTACCATCAGTGTTGATATACAGTTTATTTTTGGTACAGTGGCCTCAAGAAGCAATCTTGTATCCCTTAAAATTAATTCCAAGTAGCCCTGTATCCCTTCAAAAAATTCTAAGTAATCCTGTATCATTTAGTCCTGTATCCTTTCAAAAAATGTCCAAATAGGCCTGTATCACTTTCAAGGAATTCCAAATAATCCAGTATCCCCTCACAGGATTTTATAAGTAGTCTTGTAGCCCTTTAAGAAATTCCAAATAGTCTTGTGCTGTACCTCCTCCAAGAAATTCCAAATAGCCTTGTACATACCTCGTCCAAGAAATTCCAAATAGCCTTGTACATACCTCGTCCAAGAAATTCCAAATAGTCTTGTGCTGTACCTCCTCCAAGAAATTCCAAATAGGAGAGGCTAGATCAGTAACAACTCGAGGTGTCATGGCGTCTGATTTTGATGACGTCACAAAAGTTACGATTCTATTTTTGGAGAAAAAAAAACACACATGGTGATTGTTATAGATTTCGGTCTTTTCAATGTTCAAAAAAGGATGGAAAAGGATAATTTTAATGGTTATATTTTCATTGAACAATCTTCAAAATAGTCCTGTGGATGAGACGAGTGGGCCATTAAGTGGAATTGCTCGCAGTGGGAGTCATGCCATAGGCCTGTATTTTTTACTCAGCTTGAAGGAATTAATAAACCTACTTTTATTGATACCTCCATGCACTCAATGAATGAATAAAACGTATTTTATTTAATGTGTAGGATACCAGGCCAGCAAGACTTTAATGGTCAAAAACGCCTGAAAAGCCATTGAAACTTGAACACTACAAAATGTAACATGAACATGTGCTATTCTAAAAATAGCCCGGCCTGGTATTCTACGCATTACATAAAATACCTTTCATTCTTTCATTGCGGGCATGGATATATTAATAAAAGTGGTTATACTTAATTCCTCCTACCCGAGTACAAAAAATCTTGACCTATGGCTTCCACTGCTAGCAATTCCACTTGAGAATCTTTCATGCATAAACATAATCGCACACTCTTCTCATCCACGGGGCCATTTTGATGATTGTTTAATGAAAATATAACCATTAAGATGATTATTTTCAATCCTTTTTGTAAATTGAAAAGACCGAAATGAATAATAAACCCCATGTGCGTTTTCCAAAAATAGAATCGTAACTTTTGTGACGTCATCAAAATAATGACACCTCGAGTTGCTACTGATCTAGCCTTTCCCTTCCCCTGTATCCCCTTCAAGAAATTCCAAATAGTCCCGAGATAACAATAGTAACAATAATGATAATAATCATAATGATAAAGCGCCAGAAACAATAGTTGCTAAATGTGAGGAAGGAATATGGTGAAACCGGATGTCATAACTAAATAGAAAAGTGAACAAGAACATGAATATCATTACTAGGACAATAAGGATAATAAGGATTGTGATGCTGATGCTGATCACAGTATCAATGAGCAGTCAGAATTGTGTTCCTGAGAACAGCAGCAACAGTGACAATGATACTGAGTATTGAGATGATGATGATAATGATAACGATAATGATAGTACTGATAATAATGGTGACAGTGATAATAGAAACAACAACAAAGATAATAATGATGATAATATTATCAATTTGATTTAGAATAATAATAAATGCATCAACAAAGAAATAATAACACTACAGATGATGATAATTCTAGCGATGATGATAACAAAAAAAAAAAAAATAAAAATAATAATAATAATAACAATAATGATGAAAATAATAACAATAAGACTAACAGTACCAGGAATCAGCGATAAGTGTACAAGGAAATGTTATCATGCAGTTGATGGTAATCCCAATGCATTGATTAAGGAGGCGCCTTATCTGACCCGGTGACCTAGTTCTGTCACCTTTCCATAGTCTTTGTTCTCACGATTAAAAAAGATTAGAAAAAAAAAGTAAAGAGAGAGAGAGAGAGAGAGAGAAGCAGATTAGTTTTTTTTGTCTCTCTTTTTAAGGGATTATATACACCATGTAACCTTTTTTCCTAGTTTTTTTTTCTTATTTTACAATAACGGATACTTCAAAAACTATTACAATAAATGAAGATTCTTACTCATTACTCAGTACTCACTTAATGATCATATCTGTTATCATTTATCAGCTACTGCGTATGAAACAAATAAAAATGATAATGATAATAATAGAAAGTCGAAAAATAAAATCACCCTTGTTTTAAATGTCTAAATGAGATCCATATCCCGCTGAAAGAGAGAGAAAAAACATAAGACATGTAATAAAGACAAAGGCAACAACGTCTGAACAAATTATATATATATATATATATATATATATATATATATACATATATATAATAATAATAATAATAATAATAATAACAATAATAATGATAATAAAAAGTACAAGGAAACAGTACACCTTTATTTTCTTCTTATTCATTATCAGTTAGTTATTTCTAATTTCTTACTGAGTTTTGACATTCTAACTTTTGTTATAGATATCTGCATATATGATATTTAATCACCCTTATTTTTTTTCGATTCTTTTGCATTTTTACAAGGAAGTTCATTACCGGTACAGTCGCCTTAAAAAGCAATCTTGTATCCCTTAAAATTAATTCCAAGTAGCCCTGTATCCCTTCGAAAGATTCTAAGTAATCCTGTATCACTTTCAAGAAATTCTGAATAGTCCAGCATCCTCTCACGAGATTTCAAGTAGTCCTGTAGCCCTTCGAGAAATTCCAAGTGGCCATGTATCCCTTCAAAAATTTCTCAGTAATCCTGTATTACTTTCAAGAAATTCAGTATAATCCAGTATACTCTCACGAGATTTCAAGTAGTTCTATAGCCCTTCAAGAAATTTCCAGTAGCCCTGTAACCCTTCAAAAAAATCCAAATAGTCCTGCATCACACTTTCAAGGAATTCTAAATAATCCAGTATCCCCTCGCAAGACTTTAAGTAGTCTTGTAGCCCTTCAAGAAATTCCAGATACTGTACCTCCTCCAAGAAATTCCAAATAGTCCTGCATCCCCTTCAAGAAATTCCAAATAGTCCCGAGATAACAATAGTAACAATAATGATAATAATCATAATGATAAAGCGCCAGAAACAATAATTGCTAAATGTGAGGAGGGAATATGGTGAAACCGGATGTCATAACTAAATAGAAATGTGAACAAGAACATGAATATCATTACTAGGACAATAAGGATAATAAGGATTGTGATGCTGATGCTGATCACAGTATCAATGATCAGTCAGAATTGTGTTCCTGAGAACAGCAACAATAATGACATTGACATTATTAAGGTAGTGATACTGATTATTGAGATGATGAAAATAGTACTATTGATAATGATTATGATTGTAATGATGACAGTGATACTGATAAATATGATGATGATAACGATAATAATAGTACTGATAATAATAGTGACGATGATAATAGAAACAACAACAATAATAATGATAATGATAATAATGATTATCAATTTGATTTAGAATAATAATAAATGCATTAACAAAATAAAATAATAGTGACGATAATAATGATTATAACGATAACAACAATAATGCTGACAATAATAATGGAAATAAAAACAATGACTAATAGTAACAGTGATAATGATAATCAATGATCAGTGATGAGTGTACCAGGAAATTTTAACCTGCAGTTCTCTGTAATCACCAGTGCATTGATTAAGGAGGCGCCTTATCTGACCCGGTGACCTAATTGTGTCACCTTTCCATAATCTTTGTTCTCACGTGTTAAAAAAGAGAGAGTTGACCCACTTAGAGATAAAAGCTCTGTGTATTCCCTTTGGAAAAAAGAACTGACCTAAATAACATTACATAGATACTATTGCGTGCAACCGCATATATATATGAGGTGGACGAGCTTGAAACACAATCATAGCTTCGGTGCTTCATACTAAACAGCTTCGATAGCACACTTGTGTAACATCAGTCCACGGAAGAGAATTTCAGCTTGCAATATGGAATCTGTATTCAGTACCTTATTGCGAGGGAGAATGTGCTACTGGACTTTCGTGTCCTTCGTCTGTGTGGCGGTGAGTTCACCAGGGGACAACCCAAGGGCCTGAAATAGTTGAGAAACTGAGAATATTCAGTGGGAAGGAATAGTAACATGTTTTTCGGAAGGACAGGGACTTTGTTGGGATTATAAAGGAGTCCATAAATGAAAAAGGTTCAAAAGAGTAAGAGGATGCCTTTCTCTCTCTGTTTCTGTTAGAGGCATTTTTGTGAAGAAAAGCGCATAGGTTGAGCGACCGTCCCCTTCCCCTTTCTCATACGCATGCTCCTCTGAATGAATATAGGCCTATAAGCCGTTCATTTGGATATGTTGGTAGATGCTGCTAACGGTAAAGGTTATAAATTAGATAAACAGGAGTACAGTAGATCAGTCTGATAAGTAGAATTAAGTAAATGAGATTAGTAAGAATGCATATGTTTGAATGACTAAATCAATGCCAACAGGTGAAAAAGCAAATAGATAACTCAGATGAATAGAAAAATATAAATATGGATCAGTAGAGAGAACTAAGAATAAACATTTCAAATATATGACTTCAAAAGAGTAAATATGCAATTCAGATCACATGCATTTTTACGATCTCACTAAAGATGATTGTATGATAAGCCGTTGATTTTGCCGTGTCGACATATGCAGCAGAAGTAAAACAAGGCCTAAATCAAGCATATTGTCAATAAACATCTCCATCCACAGGCATTTCAAAGCAACATCGCAGCGTGCCAGCAATCCTGCCAGCCAGAGTGCACCGCAGTAAGCTCCTTTGTTCCCGACCCTCTGAACTGCACTCGTTTTTACTACTGCCTGGCTGACGGCCCAGCAGACGCCCCGCTGACGTGCCCAAACGGGGAATTCAACCCCGTGACGGCTTCCTGCGAACCAGGAGATCCTGCGAATCCTTGTACTGCGCTCTGCCCGGTCCCCCAGTGCAGCTTCAAGTGCAACCTCACCGGTTCGGGCATTGGTTTCGTCCGGGACCCGTACGACTGCGGTATGTTTCACTTGTGCACGCAAGGCGGTACCTTCGGGCCGTTTAAGTGCCAGGCCGAGGCTCCTTATTTCAACGGCGAAATCTGTGTGGAGAAGGAGGACGTCTGCTGTACCCAAGGCTGCAGGCCGTTCTGCGAGCCCCACGCTGACCTTGCTCCAGATCCTCTCGACTGCACAAAGTATTACAACTGCTCGGCCGACTCGGGGGCGCCGCTGTCGTGTTTGGAGGGGAGCACTTTCGACCCTGCGATCGGCCAGTGCGTGGAGGGCAGGCCTTGTCGGGACTGCGGTGGTGGTCCGGGCGCCACCGCTGCTTCAACAGTAGCCCCGGCCAAAACCACTACAACCGCTACCACGAAGGCACCCCCAACAACCACAGCTCCAGCAACAACCACAACGACCACAGCTCCAGCAACAACCACAACGACCACAGCTCCAGCAACAACCACAACGACCACAGCTCCAGCAACAACCACAACGACCACAACGGCTCCACCCCCATGCAATGTCCCTGAAGTCTGTACCGAAATAGGGAATTTCCCGATATGCAATTTCTGCCATGAGCGGTACTACTACTGTCCCAGAGTCGGTGCCAAGCCATCCGTAATGAAATGCATTAATGATCTGGTCTTTAACACCGTGCCGTCCTATCGCTACTGTATATTAAAGGAAAAGTGTCCCTTTACGCCATCAGAATAAACAGCCATA